GAAGTGGTGAGGGGAAAAATGGGGGAATTGGGGTTGAGGAAAAGTGATGTGGGAGAAAGGAAAAATGGATGGGGGGGAAGGGGAATGGAAAGACTAAAAGTGTGGGGGGAAAGGGAAAAAAATGGGGAAATGGAAATTAAAAAAAAAAAATCGATATGTGAAAAAGGAAAAAAGTCAAAAAAAGTGAAGAAAAGAAAAAACTAAAAGCGATAAGGGGGGAAAGGAACATTAAAAATTAAAGAGGTGCTGGCAAGGAAGGAGGCAGCACAGGAGAACCCCTCTAAGGCACTCTTTGGCCCCCAGTTGTCGCACCCCAGTGGCCTTCAGAGCATGATACATTTGGGTTCCCATGGTGGAGACCCAATGAACACCTCTTTACACACACACAGACACACTCCCTGCTCAGCCCCATGGTTGCATCTCACCTCCCCCCAAGCATAGGCTGGGGTCTGTGGGTGACACCCCCAGGACACACTGCCACCACCATCACCTCTCTGTGTGACCCCCAGCATTTCCGAGCCTCTTATCTGCCTAGGTTGATTCTTTCATTGGCAAAGCTCCCGGTGCCATAAATGTTAGCACCCTAGCACCTCCCCCTATAAAAACACACTCCCTTATCTCTCCCCATTGCCATATCCCAGTCTATCACCTGTGTGTGTTATCAGCCCATCCCATAGCTATCACTGCACTATCACTATGCACATCGCAGAGGCCCAGTGCAATGTCCCAGCACCCCATTCATCCTTGCTCCTGTGTGCATCCCAGAAGGGTATCCCTGCCTTTCCTATTGGTTTTCCCTCCTCGTCCCAGCGCAGGACCTGTGCCCTCTCCCAGCACAAGCAGCGTGCTGCAGCTCGTCAGCTTTAATTGCAGCAAGAGAGAGTATGATAGGACAAGGGGGAATGGTTTTAAAGTGAGACAGGAGAGATTTAGGTTGGATATTAGGAGGAAGTTTTTCACACACGGGGTGGTGACGCACTGGAACAGGTTGCCCAAGGAGGTTGTGGATGCTCCATCCCTGCAGGCATTCAAGGCCAGGCTGGATGTGGCTCTGGGCAGCCTGGGCTGCTGGTTGGTGACCCTGCACATAGCAGGGGGGTTGAAATTAGATGGTCATTGTGGTCCTTTTCAACCCATTCTATGATTCTATGAAGAGAAATACTGAGAGGATCCATCTTGCATCACTGACACTTGGAGCTGCTGAAGTTGAAGCAAAAGAAAGCGCCTTGGATCCTTTTTATCCTCTGCTCCTGTAATTTCTGCATGTCCAAACAGATTTTGGAGCCTGTTTATAACTGGTAACTTCGTTTGCTCCCGGGCTGGGACCTGAAATGCCAAGTTTCATCTCCAAGTCAGTTTTTATGGCTGAGTTGCATTAACTCCTGGGAGCAGGGGAAGAAAAAAAAAAAAAAGGAAATACTACATAAGGATATAAGAGAAAGTTGAGGTTGTTAAAAAAAAGCCAAAATGTGGGTGGGTTGGCATGGCAAAAGTCCCAGGTCTTGGGGACACCTGCCTGCTTACATTGATGGCTGCAGAGCTTTTGATCCAGGGCTGAAAATCCACTTCTGTGGATTCTAACCCAAGGAATTACCGTAACTGGGACATTTCATGCTCCTCTCTCATCAAGCTCTTTAGAGCAAATTAAATTTCTCCCTAACCAGCCTGTAACAGTTTGTGTTAGATGTGGATCTAAATGTTAATTGCAGTGACAATAACAGGTCTGATCCTGAAGTCCTTATTTGGGTAAAACCTCCCACAGAAGCCAAAGGAATTTTGCCCCAGAGAAGACAGCTGGATGCAGTCCCACATTTCCCGTCTCCTGAAGATGCCAGAAGGTAGCGAGAATATTTCTGTGATGTTACAAACCTCCTTTTTCCCCCACCCACCTCCCCTCAGTTCTTTAATTCACCACTAATCTAACGAGCCCTGCTTGGCTTTAGCTGTGCACTTGCTTGCGAAGAGCTGAAGCCACGGAGAGGAGCAGGGTGAGGTTGGTTTGTAGCTCTGCTGGATGTGAGGGCACCTGGAAGTCCTCCACCGTCCTGGAGAGCTGTATGGGAAGCCTTCCTGTGGTCCTCATTCCCTCTGCTCTTGGGTAATGCAAAAACCTTCAAACGTGAGACCTGAAGGAGGGCAGCTATGTATGATGGGATGATTTGGGGTCTCCCTGTCCTCAGCACTCAATCCTAGCTGGGTTTGGCAGAAGGACACCCCGTATTCAGGTGGTAAAAGCAGCCAGGTAGGCCATTCTCCCTCCATCCCCACACTCTCACACTGCTGTCCCTCGAGAGCCTGGAAAAGGGTGCAGTCCATCCCCATCCCGACCCATCCTCACCAACCCAAACAGCTTTGAGCACACGCAAACCAGCAGATACTCAAAGGCACAAAGCGTTTCTTCAGCGCCTGAGATTCAAATCCTCTACTTTGTTTGGTGTTGGTTTGTTTTTTTGTTTTTTTTTTTTTTCTTTTTCCCCCAGCAGCATTTAACAAGCTGATGATGTTTGTTTATGAAGTGAAATGCACATGATTTATTTGATCTGCTGGAGCTGGAGAGCTGCATTCCCACGCCAGGGACAGGCAGAGCCGCTGCCTTCATCCCCTCTGTTGGAAACTGCTCAGATGAAGTATTGTACAGTCAGAGGCACTGTGCTGTGCTTTCAGCTGCTTCAGAGCAGGGCATTAAATGCTTATTAGAGACCTCCCAACTTCCCAGCCATAAAGTTGCACTTGTTCTTGTCTGTCTCTGCACGTGGAGACGGCCTTAACGATGTGTTCCTGCAGCTGACACAGGTCTGGGAGGTCTTAGGGCACCTGGGCTGTAGTCTGGATGTGACTTAAATGATGGTAGGGAGGTTCTTCTTGTGCTTTGCTGGTGAGTTGGGTTGAACGCATCTTACTTGGTTTGCAGGGACCATGGTTTAATTAATTGCTTTGCAAGAAGGCTCTGTAGAGGGAATGTCTGGTTCTGCTTTTTACAACACCTGGAGATGTACTTCATCTCATCACCCAGACCAGAGCCTGGCTGCCAAGGAAGCTAAGGAAACCGATCCATTAACTGATGGAAGATGAAGTGCAGAATGTGAACTATGAGACTTACAGCTCCTTGGGGAGAGCACATCGAGCATCACCCATCCTGCGGGTGGGACAGGAGCCAGATCCTCACCTGGTGTGAGCCAGCAGCACATGGCCCAGGGCTGGGCACCAGCTAAGGTCCCCCTGCCTCACCTGGGGCTGCAATAGGGCTGTGCCAGCTGTGAGCAACCTCACCACAAAGCCTTACACCAGAGCTGGAGGATGTGTCACTACCAGGGCCTTCCCCCCCATCCTTGCATATAAAACACTTTGCAAATGAAGTGTGAAGATAATATGCTTTATCATAGGCATTTATTACTGGTGATCGTTGAATAAATCTCCCTCCATTCACATACCTATACAGAAGGTGTATATAAATATGCAGCCAGTATCCGGCCCAGAGCCTTTATGACGATGTCAATGTAGCCCCCATAAAGATAGTGGGAAATGATTCATAATATTTATATGACAGACACGATATGAACTGTAATAGCCTGTTGGGATCGAGAATATCCATAGGTCTCTGTCAGCCACAAATGTGATTTAAATATTATATATGTGGCAACTGTAGCATTAGTAATATGATAGCTGTTATTGATAGTGGTCATAAAACGCAGCAGTTTTGCGCTGAAGAATGTGAAAAATAATCTAGTGGTTTTCCTAATGGTCTCCCCAGCAATGCACAGAAGGAAGTGTACTTTCAGTGCTTCTTCTTTCAGTGCATCCCTCCCCCCCACCCCCAACTGAAACTGCCATTGGATTCTATCAGATTACTGCTGGGGCCATGCTTCGTTCTGCTGATGTCAGCTTGTGGGTCTGTCTGTTGGGCTGAGGGGGTTCTGCTGGGCTGTGGGGTCAGGCTTTGCTCTTCTGTATGGAACAGGGCTCAGTGCTGCCATGCTGGCTGTGAAGGGAAGACTTTGTCCAGCGGCTGCACAAACGTTGTTCCCTCCTTTGCAATGGCAAAGGGTCATCAGTGGGTATGAGTTTGCACAGCCCCATAGGAGAGCTGATACCATCAACCCTCACCTTCTCACTGTCGGAGCATCACGCAGATGCACAACGGGTGGGTTTCACACTGCAGCAGTGGGTGGGAGCTCAGGGACAACCAACAAAGGTCTCATCCCTCCTCACCATCAGACTGCCTTCCTCTCCCAACTCCATCCCGTTCTTTCCCGAGAGCAAACAAAAGGGGAAAATCACTCCACCACACAGCCATTAGTTACAACAGACCCTGTTTTTCCTCCCTTAGCACAAGCAAGAGAGGACCCAGCTTGCCCAGATGGATTCAGCATCACGGTTTTGCTTTGGTGGGGTCTGCAAGGGGTTTGTTTAACCAACACCAACATTGCACTGGTGAGGTGCAGCCCC